TTTCGAACTATGTATCCATACAATCTCCTGTACATATTGGACACGATAAAATTTTTTCACTCCTGACGTTGCAAGATAATTTTACTCATGTTTCTCTGCAAAAGTCATTTAGAAAACCATAATTAAAATTCCCTCACACACATCACCAATGAGAAGTTTTTAACCTGCCCATTCGGGGCAGGAAATCAGTTCTATGTTTCCATATAGTATTGGACTGTATACTACAATAAATAAATTCCGGTTTTTCTTCTCTAATTTTATACCGTTTATTTTATTTTTTATTTTTTTATGTTTGCGGGTTCAAGTAAGCAATTTGTAAAATGCACTAACTAGCTTGGAAATTGAACATTCTTGCAATAAAGTTTATCAACAAGATGTTAACTTCAATTGATACAAATTTTATTGGAAAATAACTCGAAAAACACCACGAAAAAAAGGGGTAGGAAATTCTCTCAAGAACTTTTCAATACTAATAGTAAGCAAAAAGGCTATAATTATAATGGCATATATTTTAAAAGTGCAAATCAAGTGTGTGAAATGAATATACCTCTAATGTGATAACAGGACACTCTAATCTAATCTCTTCAGACAGAAATTCATACTCTTCTTTGCTCGATACCTCTTGAAGAATCATTTCACAAGTGAGCTATAATTGGGAACGGCGTCATAAATATCTGGATTCAACCCTTTTCCGGAAGTTATGCACAACAATGTTACCGAAGCTTACTCCAGTTCCTTGAGAAAATCAATGTTGTCGACAAAGACCTGAAAGATTCATACAAGACGCAAAATTTGAATCACAAATTTACGTTGTTATTATAGCACTAATGTCTCTTCACAAACACAGGTTCGTGTAATATATTCAACTCTGATATAATACACGTCTAGCATTATTTCCAACTATTAACACATACAGAGACAAAAAAGTTTCGAGTTTCTAACCAAACATTTAGTTCATGCTGATAAGCAAATATACGAAGAGCACATACAATCACCATAACTCCCTTCTATCTTTCTCTATATTTAGTAGCAAAAAGAAAAGCAAGAAAAAAAAAAGTTTAAACCAAAAACAAGGACATGTAGATTTTCTTATACGTGAATAAGTTTTCAAAAAAATAACTTTTTTATTCATAAATCTTAAAAATATGTAGCTAAGAGTTTCTTTCTAAAAGTAACTTTATTAGTAAAACATATGAAAACTAAATAATCCAAATTTATTAATGAAAGCTCAAAATATGTAATTTACTTATTTTAACATTAACTTAAGAGTTACACTTTCAAAAATAATGTTTACTTAAAGTTTTAATATAACTACTATTTTGTATTTAAAGTAAAAACTAAGATACTTATTTTGATATAAAATGTAAGAATCGCTTAAAATAATAATAATAATAATCATAATAATAATAATGAAAAGTAAGAGAAAAGTAAGCATATTTATAGAATAGAAGTTCCGTACTTGAAGTAACTTTTTTTTAAGCTTAGACAAAAATACTGTCATAATTATTTTATTTTTCAATATCTATACATTCTTCTAGTACGGCGTAGTACCAAATGCTGGATTATACATCCTGATCCACCTTAAAACAGCGCCCCCCCAACCAATTCCTATCCTCCCTAATGTTGTCCCCCCGCCCCAACCAACCTTATTCCCCTTAATCCAACATGGTGTACTAATAAACGCACCCTCGATGTCTTCTTTCTCTAGAAAACCCACAAAACCAATGCTTTGTATCCTGCTAGTGACATTCCTTCAAGGAAACCAAGCATCTTACACTGCTCGTAGTAACATTTATATGAGGTTTTTAACTCCATTGAGGTTTGAAAACATAGGTTTGGATGATTGTTCGACTGTCGAAACTTAGATCTAAGAATTGCAACACATGGATAAATAGATTTGAGCTAAATAAAAAATAACATTATTTCAAACTATCTCCAATTTGAAATTTATTGCTTAGAATATCTTCCGATAGGGATCACTGCTACACTTGTACTCTTCATTTCACACAGCAAATTACAATATTTCCGTATGAAATTCATTGCTCAGAAAATCTTACCATATGAATTATTGCTACCACTTGTACACTTAATCTTCCTCTAGACATTGAGTTCCTTATTCGAATTAATCCATAATGAAGCCAAAATGGCATATAACAAATATTGATTTAAAACTGAGAGGAACAGGCACACCTCTAACGCCATTCAAAAACAAAGACAAGCAATTTAAAGCAGTAATATTTTGGTCTGATAATAGTTAAAGCAATGAACATTGAAAAGCAAAGATCATACCGACTTCCAACCATCAGGATCAAGACATGCAGTAATCTTGGTATTAATGCCAGGTAAAGGTCCAGGTTCTCGAGCAATTACTCCCACAGATAGCTTGATTGCTTCTGCAGTTTTATAAACATCGTCTGTGCCTATTGCTATCCGCAAGATATCATAATCAGTAGGCCTATTCAAATTTGGATTTTACACTTTCAAAGACAGCAGGCATAATATATCATGTCAATCATGGCAGAATTAAAATAATGCTAGGAAAATGAAAAAAAGTCTACTGAGCGTAAGCATTTCCGTTGTCATATTCAGTAACACCATAATTGTATGTCAACTCCAAGACAGTATTTGTATCTTCTGGACTATAACCGATCATCGCTATTGTATACTTCAGAGAGGATCAAAAGCACACATCAGTACATAGGGATCTCCAAACGTAATACGATGCAACCAGGATAAGCATGTTTGGCCAAGCTTAAAAAGAAGCTACTTTTAAGTAACTTTTGGTACCAAACTTACTTGGATATATTACTCTCTCTTACTTAGTAAGTAAAACATTGCAACAGAACAGTGGCACAAAAGCAAAAGGTTAGCAAAGATCAAAGTCTGAGGCACATAACATTTGTTTTGAAAATTCCAACACATGCACAGAGACAAAATATTTACTGAATAGTTCACGATCTTCAAACTTCTCCATCAACTTGACCTGATAATGAAAATGTCAGGAATACCTTGTATTCAGGATTATCTCGCTTGCGAAGAAGCTCGATGCCAACAGACTAAACAACAAGGAATAACTTGCGATTATGCAGAATAAAGGACAGATAAGGCAAGGCTAACAGAAGAAGCTGCAAAGAATAATAATTTAGGGATAAGTAATACACTGTACTACAGCAAAAATGATGTTGATGATTATGAAAATATTAAAAAACAAAAAAAAAATGTGCATTTTTTATTTCCTAAAAGAAGAGCACACCTTCTCATAGAACGATCAAGATCTCCTACTCGAAGCATTACTTAACACAATGGCTCAAGTGTAGGACCTCGCTCCAGTAGCTCAAACTTATAACCATCAGGATCTTCTATGAATGCAATAACTGTTTTACCACCTTTGACAGGACCAGGTTCTCGGGTAACTATACCACCTTTAGCTTTTATGAGATCCACAGTCTTCGTTA